TGTAATTGTCTGACTATAGAATAATCTTCAGAAACATAGTTAAATATGATCTAGCACAAAATAGCAGGCAAAATATGCTATTCTTTGTATTTTTAAAGCTCACGTACTCCTATCATGATTATATCATACAGTTGTTTTTTTTAAGGATATATAATACATTTAATCTGACTCACTGACTTGGAGCAGAGACTAAAACTGTGGTATATATGGCTAAAAAATTAATTTCCATCTTTATGCTTTTATTGTGAAGATTACTTTGAAATTGTATTTTAACAATACAAACAAATTTTACTCATTTTGAAAACAAAATAGTATTACCAATAGATGAAATCATTGTTTTCAAACAAACAACATCATTTCAATTTCTATATTTAGCATTTCCAACAAGATTTTTTAGTCATATAAGCAAAGCTAATTCCCTTTCAGTGTAGCTTCTTTCTAGACTGTTGGCTGAAGGGTTTGTATTTCTTTTACAATGGAGGGCTATTAATAACAGGAAGCAGATTTAGGTGAACCAAATGGCTGAAATCAATAGTCAACTGTAGATAGGGAAACTAAACGTTAGGCTCTTAGTAATGTGGACAGTAGATTGCATCAGAATACAGTAATATAGTTGAACTGCGCTCTGTGAGCAGTAAGAGCAAAACTTATGTGCGCTTCAGGAATTCAGCAGTCCCGGGATAATAGCATCCACAAGGTGTGAAGAAGGAGCTCATGGAAGGTTTCTGGGATAGCAACACAGATTAGACAGTTGCCTTTAATTGTTTCCTCATCTCCTTAATTCAATAAACACTTGGCAAAGATACTTATTTAAAAGACACAAAGCAGTTAAACAAAAGAGGAAAAGGAAAAAATAGCAGACGAAATTTGGGGGTTCATAACAATAGATAAGAACTGACTTAGCAGGCCTAAGAAAATTAATATTTATACAGTACTAGAAAACTGTGAGTGTCAACCAATTTGTATGACGGTGTCCAGAAGACTTGGGAACTGCTTTTGGAACTCGTTAGGTGGAAGGGATATGAGGGGAAAATTAAGACAAAGCAGCCCTCTCTGAAGACAGTTTCTTGTAGTCATCCAATACAGGGAATTGGGGCACACCTCAGTTAATAGGTGCTATGAGATTGTATCTCCTAGCAATGTCAGAAGCTATGCACATTAAGACTCACCAACATGGCTGCCTACACATGAGATGAACAAGAACGACAGCAATGATCAAGTCGAACAGGGGAAGCCCAAGAAGCCGTAACCCTATACAAAGACCTACAGGCAACCAAGGAATGCCAGGGAAAAGCACAACAAGTGGTTATCCAACACAACGTGATCAGCCCTGAAAACACACATGCAAGAGTAAAGTTATGCAAATTGAGTAGTTTATGTTTTTGTATTTGGAAGTGTTTACATGCGTGCATGCGTGTGTGTGTGTGTGTGTGTGTGTGCATAAAAACAATTAATAAAAAAGAGACCATAAATTTGAAAAAAAGAAATGAAGAGTATATAAGAGTGTTTGAAGGGAAGAAAGTGAAGGGGGAAATGGTACATTCAGAGAAATGTACTAAGATACAATAAGATCATTTTAAAATGCTCAAAAGAAAAAAAAAGAAAGAAAGAAAAAGTAGGTGTGATGTCCTGCTGGTGATATCATCTATAGTTGGAAATAAGAAACAAAGGCATCATCATCACAGACCTTCCTAAGAAGAGTAGGCGAGTGTCCAAGCTGCCCAGAAATTTGCTGCAGGATCTCTATGGGGAAGGGAATTGGGGTTGATATGAATGGTAGTAGCTGAATCTGTTTTATATTAGGAGAGAAACTGTAGGGGAGTTTATCTGTGTGCTCTGATCCCTTTGCTGTGCCAAGGGAAAGAGGGAAAAGCTTCCTCATTAGCTGACTGAAAGACAGTGAAATGAACAGATTGCAGCAATCAAAGATTTTTTTTTTATGGAGTCAAGCCAAGACACATTGGTGCACCCCTTTAACCCCGGGTCTGTGGAGGGAGAGGCATGTGACTCCCTGGGAGTGTGTAGACACCTTAGTCTGCATAGGGAGTTCCAGAGTTCCAGGCTGATCAGTGAGGCCCTGTCTAAAGGTCGAGAAGGCTCCAGATTCTATTGCACCACACAAGAGGAAATATCTAAGCATTGCTCTCCAGGTTCTTTCATCCATCTCTGTTTGCTGAGCAATTGTGCCTGCTCTGGGAGATACCTGCAGGCTTGTTTCCTATGGAAACTGAAACATGACTATCCAAGTTGATAAGCCAGACACAGTTTAGAGCTGGACGGCGAAGAGGACTGAATACTTAATGAATGAATCCTCTGCTCTATAGAGGCCCTTGCACTGCCCTGCCCGAAGAGCCCCTGTAACAAACCTAGATGATCAGCATGGTCCGAAGTACAGGCTCTTGCAGCCTTCTATGGGCTTCTTAGATTCCCATTCTTAATATTAAGGAGACATTCAGCGGCTTCTAGGTACCAGGAGGAAAGTTGTCATAAGAAGACAGAAAATAAAACACAACAGCGTCTTCCATAAAATGCATCCTGATTAAATAAATATGTAGGTAAGAAATCAACAAATACAGCAAACTGCCTGCAATAAAACTGTCTTCTTATTCCCAGAGAGATAAGAAAATGCTGTATCCGTAGAAGAGGAGTGAAATGCCATAAAAATTAACAGACCATGTGTTTTGGGAAACAATCAGCAGTGAAGTCAATAGAAACAAAAGATAAAGTAGAAGAGGGCTGCTTGACAGTAGAGAAGAAAGATACAGAGGCACAAAACAGGAGAAAAAGAAAACTCTGAGGCCAACTTTATAAAAGCTGGGGAAAGGGCAGAAAGAAGAGAAAGAACAGAGAGCCGAGAAAAATTACTATACAAAATTTCCAGAACATACCAGATAAGTGTCTATTACTGAAATACAAAGACATAAAACCCTTACTGAACAAACGCGGTAGATGGAAAAACTCAAGAGTCTCGGTTCTGATAGTTCAGAACATAAGGGGGAAAGAAAAACTCTACAGACTCCCAAGAAGAAAAAGATCACGGATCATAACAATTTTCAGCTTCACAACAACATGACTTTGGAGTGAAAAGAAAATTCTCTGCCATGGGGAATTCTAATGGAAGATGACCTCTAACCTAGAATTACGTCCAAATCAAAGCTTATGAGGGCGGAATGACATTTTCAGACTCACACAGCCTCCGAGAAATAACCCATCTGCCCCTTGTTAAGAAGCTGTGGGGGAAAGCGCTCCACCAAATGTCCACCAAATTGAATGTAAAAGCAATAGAGGGGTGGCATAGTAAGGAGAGTTCCTGCAGTCCAGGACTGAATGAACTCCAGGATGGATCGCCGACATCCTCAAGTGGGAGCTGGAAGCCAGCCCAGAACCGAGCGGAGTGAGTCTAGACAGACACACTGCCCGGGAATGGGACCATTTTTCAAAGACCTGAGAGAAAGCTCTGGACAGCCCACATAAGAAGCTGGTGATCTTGAAAACGGGTTAAAAATCCCCTGCTCTTTTCTCCAGAAAGCCCTCTGTACAGATTTACAGATGTATCTTCTTTGGGCAAAAAGCTCCGCTCTGACCTCTTAGAGAGGGAACACCACTGGACCGCTGGGAACTCAGAAACAAGAAATGCAGGACAGTCCTACAGACCTGTGTACAAAGTCCTACAGTTCCTTTGTAGTCGTTTTTTATTTGTTTCTTTCTTTCTTTCAAATTCAACATTGACAGTTGGGCTCAAATTCTCTAGAACTCCACTCAGGGCCTCTCTTCAATACTCTGGCTTTTTATAAACTCCCCGGACCCAGATGTCTAACCCTAGACACGACTAACTTCATCTTGCCCTAGAATCCCTTGCCTATAAGTGTCAACCACATTCTCTTCACAGAACTGAATTTTAAAATTCATTTTTAAAAATATATTGCTTTTTGAGTTTCTATAGAGAGACCTGCCTTATCATGAAAATGCCAAGAAACCGTGAAGAAACTCAAGGAAATACCGTAAATTCTAGACTAGCATTTAGAGGAGCCTATCAATGTCCAGGGAGAAGATGGGATTCAAACAGAATCAGTTGTCAGAATGGCTATCAGCCTGTTGGAAGGACAGGCCTAAGAAGAAATAATGACAGGGACAAACTCAGGGAGACTCTAAACTCTAGATCATAATCTTTGTGGAGGACTCTGAAGTTGTCTACTGCCTTTGGGATTATATATTTACATTTTACATATAACTCCATCAGTAAATAATATGGGGGGGGATAAAACCCACTCATGCAGCTGTACAAACTGGAACTCCCTGTATGACTTGTCAACAATTAAATTCTTGTTGTAGAAAAGATTGGTAAGAAGTAAAGTGCATAAACTATGAAGACTTTGATAAAACAGAAATTGACAGAAAATTGGAACCAAAATATGTTGTCTTTCAGATGTGATGCTCGTGTAACTGACCAGTTTACAATTAGATCTGAAGCTCACTGGCAGAAATAAGGCTCACAATATACTATACAATAAAATGCTTAAGCCCAGGCCATGTGACGAGTGCGTGTATTGCTTTTCGTCTGCTCCCTGAGGATGAGAGCGCTAGCTGAACAACTGCTCCTAACACACTTTCCAAGACAGTACTGTAGAAGTTACTAATACAAGTGCTTTAATGATGATTAATTCTATCAGTGTTGAAGGGCCTGCTAACTACCATAAGAGATGCTCAAAATATGTTTTCACCTGTGAATGAACAAACACATCTGCTCCTGTATGGAAATAGAATAGAAGCCCGTGACTCTGGGAGTACTTAGATTAGCATATTTCAATATTTTCCTCTAGGGATCTTCTCCTCCGAGAACACCTCGTACCTTTGAGATCAGCGAGCTGGTAGACACAGACGTTCTATGACTAGATTTTGTCATTTTTAATAGATTTAATAACTTACTGGATGTGTGTGCTACTTAGCTTTTTCTAATAAAAGGAAGGTCAGTGCAGCCGATATATTAGGGAAATACTTACCAGGCGAGAGTGTGGCGCTAGAGGAGGAAGGCTGGGCCTGTGACAAGAGACAGGGAAGACAGGTCTCACGTATGGAAGTCCAAAGGAGTTTCGATGAGACCTGTGATGTAATCTCACTCCAGATTCCTAGGCATTCTTATGACATTTTTATGTCTGGTCAAAGGCCGGCAATAGTTCAGGCTATAAAACATACTTGTAACAGCCTTCTACTCATACATGCTGATAGGCACCCTACTGAGTCCCTCTGTGAGTCCTTAGCTAACAGACCTCCAGCTGCCAGATCTCTCTCCTAGGGAAGTGTGTTGGCATGAAAGAGAATGTGGGTGGGCACATCCTTGCTCTGCAAACCCTGAGCCTGCCGAGAGGTTTGTACTATGAAACCATCCTCATCCTCAGGAACATATAAGACCCATGTGGGTCCTGAGTCCTCTCCTCAGAGCCCCTCCCCATTGTCTAGCTCTGGAGTCTAAACTCTCCTCAGAACACCTGTCATGCTGTTGTCTGTTCATCTTCCTGTCCATGGCATTAATAACTCTTTTAATAAATTACTTAGACCCCACAAGGCATCTCAGCGCCCCCTTGAATGTCTGCCCTCATTGGAGGGTTTTAAGTAGAACATTGTTTAGGAGTAGCCACCAATGAGTTACTATGGAGGGGTCAGATCTTATAGCTAAAGGTACATGTTAATACTCCTAACCATGCTCAGCGACTGTCGCGGAGCAGCCATGGAAAACTACAATGAGGCCATGGATCCAGAGGCTTAGAAGCTGGCCCTGCCAGGCATTGATACTGCCCTAGCAGAGGGTCTGAGTATTATCAAGGCTGTCATGAGGCAAGTGTGGCATGAGGTAGGCTGAGACACTCCACTTAGAAGAGAGATTGTGAGTTCTTACAGTCTCTAAAGATCCAATTCTTTCTCTCTCTCTCTCTCTCTCTCTCTCTCTCTCACACACACACACACACACACACACACACACACACACACAGTGGTCAAGAGTACTCATTGCTCTTGCAGAGGACCTGAGTTCAGTTCCGGGTACCCACCTATAACTGCAGCTCCAGGGCATCTGAAGGTGCATACAGGTGCTGGAGGCCTTGCCACAGATGGATTCATGGACTTGGGATGGATGTGTGGAGTTCGTGCTAATAAGGGTTTGTGATCACCGGTGTTCATCCAAGCACGTAGCCCCGAGTAGCTTGAACCATTTTATACAGTTTCAATGGTTTGCTGAACAGAATAATTTTTTTGCTTCCTACGTTTCTACGTCTTACATTTCTTTTTTTAAAATGGTTATAATAATTATTAGCTTGTGTCCTGTCTCTTTCCTCTCCCACCTCTCAAATCTTCCCACAGGTAACCATTACCCTTTTGACCTACATCTCTAACGTCAGAAGCGTAAGCAGTCTTGCAAGCTACAAAGGGAATTTTCTGACTGGGCACACCCACAGGCAGAACATTGTGTCCACTTTGCAGCACAAGTGGTTACAGAATCATGCAGGGTGGGAAACAGTTTTGTCTTTTGGGGTAAATATTTTTATCTATAGCTTCTGGTTGAGTCTGGGGTCTCATAAATAACTCATGAGCCAGAGCTGGATGAATCCAGTCTATGTTTTACACTGCTCTATCCTCTCTGGAGGCATACCAGGTTTTTCCATTTATTTGATAGGCAGCATAATTTAGAACCTTACTCTTCATAGCTGACACTGTCTATTCCTTGTCCTTGTGTCTAACTCCATTAATGTCTTGGGGTATTGGCACAGCTATCAGAAATGAGGGATCAGTGGGTTTCTGTGAGTCTGCTTCACTCTCTGTTCCTACTGACTCCAGATACTAACTAGTAAATAGCATTTCTTTAAAGCTCTTATGGTTCAATCATTCTTCCCAGAACAGTTATGCAAATGTGTTATATTAAACTTTATGACTGTGGCTCACTCAGGCCAGCAGTAGGGTGAAAATCAAGGAGGACACCTAACACCCATGTTCCCAGGGTCATGCCTGGAATCATGCAGCGAACCGTCCAAGTGGGTCAGGGAATCATGAAGCTAACCGTTCAAGTGGGTCAGGGACTCCAGAAGTTTTGCCACATGGAAAGACGCTCATGCTATTCTGAACCCTTATTTCTTGAAGAAGTCACATGGCTCCCACCACACAGGCACATGTGCATGCCAATGCATGGGCACATACATATACATACAGTTAAAAATTTAAAAATGAGTTCACACCCCTCTCCTCTATTGCTTAGGGTCTCATCTGGGTTCATCCCTGTGGGTTCTTGGACATTTTTCTAGAGCCAGGTTTCTTGCTAACTCCATAATGTCTCCCTCAATCAAGATATCTCTTTTCTTTCTCTAATATCTGTCCTTCCTCCCTCTAGACCATCCCATTTCCTCAAGTTCTCCTCCCCCTACCTTCCCCCCATCCTCTAGTTCCCCTGCTCCCAAAATTTTGTCTGATTCCAATTTCCAGGTGGGTCAATATGTGTTTTTCTTTGAGTTCACCTTATTTCACCCTGGAATCAGGCTGATGATTATCTTAAATATCACCATAGACCTTCATCCAACAACAGATGGGGAACACAGGAAATGATCCACATCAAAGCACTGAACTGAACTCTCAAGATCCACTTGAACAGTGGAGGGAATGAGAGTATGAGCAAGGAATTCAAGACAATGAGAGGATCATCCACTGAGACAGTTTGCTTAAACTAATGGTAGCTCACCAACTCCAACTGTAATGGGAGTGAACGAGTATGAAAACAACCTAGCACCTCTGAAGGGGGTTGACAGCTGGGGCAGACTGAGGGGCCACTGATAATGACACTGGGATGTGTCTCTACTTGCATATACCAGCTTCATGAGATCCTATTCTCTTTTAATGTAAACCTTGCTCAACCTCGACTAGTAGGGAGGGCCTTGGACTTTCCACAGGGAGGAGTGTGTGGCACTCCCTTAGGATTGGAGTGGGAGGGAGAGGGTCTGTGGAGGGAGAGGGAGGGGACTCGGAGGAGGGGAGGGAGTGGGAATTTGAATTGGTAATTTTTTAAGTAATTAAAAAGGGGAAAAAATTAAAAATCATAATGTGCTGGTTATAAAATGGTCACATTTGCTTGACTCTATTCTTGGTAAAATAGCTGAACAGGTCAGTTTCAAGGAGCATAACATGGTACCCTGTTTTTAAAAATCAAATGTTGCTAGAGTTGAGTAAAAATTTTAAAAAAAATACCTGCTTTATTGGTTGACACTATTGCTTTTTTGAAGCTCGCTTCATAAGGCACTGTGAGTAAGAAATAAGAAGGAATCTGGGCTTTAAGAAACCCAGAAGAGAGAAAGTACTGAGAAAAAGCCTAGTGTCTTAATTTGGGTTACTGTCGCTATGCTGGAACACTATGACCAAATCTACTTGGGAAGGAAAGGGTTTATTTGGCTTATACTTTCGTACCACTTTTCTTTATTGAAGGAAGTCAGGATAGGAACTCAAACAGGGCAATAACCAGGAGACAGAAGCTGATGCAGAGGTCATGGAGGTGTGCTGCTTATTGGCTTGCTCCTCATGGCTTGCTCAATCTGCTTTTTTTCCCCTATTTTTCCCATTTTTCAAGACAGGGTTTCTCTGTTGCTTTGGAGTAAGTCCTGGAACTAGCTCTTGTAGACCAGGGTGACCTCACACTCACAGGAATCCGCCTGCCTCTGCCTCCCGAGTGCTGGGATTAAAAGCATGCACCACCACCACCACCAGGCTTCAACCTGTTTTCCTATAGAATCCAGGACCACCACCCCAAGAATGGCACCACTCACAATGTGCTGCGCCCTCCCCCATCAGTCACTAAATAAGAAAATGCCCTACAACCAGATCTTATGGAGGTGGTTATTTTTGGTTTATTATTTTGCATTGTTGTTGTTGTTGTTGTGGTTGAGGCTCCCACCTCTCTGATTACTCTAGCTTGTATCAAGCTGAAATAAAACTAGCCAGTACACTTATGGTACCACAGGCAGACAGTCAGTGGCCAGTAGACTTTAAAGTCTTTATGCACGGCACCTTGTGTCTGCAACCAAGAGCTGTTTTCTCAAGAGAAGATAAGAAAATGTCTACAAGATGGAAAAGGTGAGCCAAGAGGACCAGTGCTGACAAGGACGAAAAGGAGTCTAAATTCCAGAGGCCTTGAGACAGATGACGGTTCAAGCTGACCTGAGGCCACTGGAAGAGTAAGGATCGACACAGTTTGCTTATTTCTTAAAATGTATGCATTTACACATGCAGTGCATATGTGGGTGGGTAATAAATGGCAGCATGAATAAAATGTTGCTATTGTTCTGCGTATAATAGGATTATGGTGTGATTTTGCCTGCTTCCTCATTTTTCTTGCCTCCTTGCCTTTTCTTGTTTGCAATTTCTGATTTTCTTCAATAAGCACAAATCAACATAATATAAAGGAAAAGATATTGTAGGGAGGAAGAGAAATGATGTAGGTAATTGCTTGTTTCCAGGAATTCGAGTAAACATTAGCTAAGTAAAGTGTTTGTTTTCAACACAGCTTCCAACGTAATTGGCCAATTATAAAGGATTTTCTGGAGTGGGCCAATCCATCCTGCAACCCTTGAACCTGTTTTGTGGTTAATTTATCTTGGTGGGCATGTTTAGGAGGCTTTAGACAAAGCGGAAGGTTCAGCTAGGATCTTTTCCACGGTCATGATAAGGCCATCTAGATCCTCCCTCCAATGCCCTTTGACCAGAATCATTTCTTCTTTATCATGAGGGTGAAGGAAAAATGTTGTTTGATAAAGGCTGCATTCAAGATTGGGTATAATACAACTTTATAATTTCATCATCGTCATTATTTTTAATTGTTACTATGTGTGTACATGTACATATGTGTAAGTGGCCACACACATGCTGCAGCATGCTCATGGAGGGGAGAGAAGAACTTTCTCTCCTTCTATCATGGGTTCCTGGAATATGGGAATCAAACTCAGGTCATTGCTCTTGAACAGCAATCAATGTTAACTAAACCATCTCTCCAGTCCAAAGTTTCTGATTTCTTCTAGAAGCAATCTTCCAGCATCCTAAGGTGTTTCTCTTACAGAATTGTAAAGGCAAACGTCTTAACTTGCATGAAATAACAAAGGGCCTTTCCAATGGCTGGGATATCAAGCTATCCGCTCCCCCACTGAATTCGCTCTTTCTCTTGTGAACTTAATTTCTAAAGTGTATAGATACAGCACAATTCAGTAACAGCTGGCATGCAGACCCCTACTCAAAGGCAACCAAAAACAGGCCTATTCATTAAACTAATATCTCACTAAATGGATGAAACAGACATTCTGTTTGCATGTAGATTCTTGTGGAATTGATGGATTTGATCCTTGTATTAGACCGCTGGAAGTGTATGGTCTACAACCAGCCACTGTCTTCCTGCAAAGAAGGGCCCCACCCCCATCCAGGCACATAGTATGGCAACAGGAAACAGGACTGGATTCAAGGTCTACTCACCCCACAAGCTCAGTGGACTGAGCATGGTTTTCATCCCAAAGCAGTTGTTCAGGGAAACTGTGGCTTGTCTGTTTTGAAAACCCTGCCTTAGTCAAAGGAGAAAACTTTGCCAACTTCATGTCTCTACATTCAGATTTGTTGAAGGCTTAGTAGACCAAAGTTTTCTAGCTTTTAGATTTCCTAGATGTAGCAAACTTTAAAAAAAAAAAGTTTGTGGGGATTGACAAAAGATTTTTAAATTTTAGTTGAAAAACAATATATGATTTAAACTATATAAATTACTAAGCACAGAAAGTGTAAAAAAAATCATGTTTTTCCTTTCAGGAAGTAAATACTCACATGCTAACTTTGATCAAACTGAATCAGAGTCCTGGGGCACGGGTGGCCTGACTGAGCTGTCAGTGCTAGCCGTGGCAGGCCCCTCTCTGGCTCTCTCTGCAGGTACACTGGCTCAGTGTAGCGTCTCCCATCCACCCAGCTGCTTCTGCTTTCCTTAACCTGGCTGATGTCAGTCGTTTCTCGGGTGTCTGACTAGAGAGTCAGGGAAGCATTCAGAACTGTTACTATTTCCATAAATTATACGAAAACAAAGTACAGATGGCCAAGTGTCAGCAGGCACAGCACTTACCATGCCTGCTACTGTGAACTTCATGAGAAGGACATTCTTACCTACATCGTCTGCCTCCAAGGCACCTGACACAGTTCAGG